TTAATTTCTCTATCGAGTAAAAGTTATATCGCGATACATATCGTTATCGTTCTATCGCGCAGCTCTAGATACCAGGTTTAGATTAATGAGAAAGCAATCAACTGAAGCACATTTAAGCGTACAAGATTTACAAACTCTTAATCTCACCTGCAACAAACCTCCCCAGGGTCCGCCCACAATGTGAGTTCACGAGGAAGTCCCAGGTCACTGTACTGGATACCACTCTCACGACAGGCCCGAAGGAGCTCTGGATCCTGCTTGTGAAATCTGTTCACTCGGATGCACCTTCAAAGCACACACACAACATAAACTGCCTTCAGCTTAAACATGCCACCAGAACAATCCGAGCTTTACTCATTTGCATCCCAGAGCAGCCCCACCTGTATGCTTGTCCCTTGCTGGGGTTTTCAGGATACCAGTGCCCCTTAAACTTCTCCTGCAGTGCCACAGCCAGCCTCTCAACAAACAGCTCGACCATCTCCGCTTCCAACTTCTCCCCCTTTTTCACAAGCCTCTTCAGAAAGAACACCACAGCTGCAATCTCTCTCCTCATATTTTACAAGTGTTTCATCACGTATGGACAGCTTCTGTAATGAAAGGCATGTGACAGATCATGTAAAACAAAATAGATATACAGGTGTAGATCCTACCTACAAAATGTTTTCTGATGCCCAAATTGGAAAAAAATAATTCCACTTTACAGTCTATCACTGCACTATTTTAGGTGGTTTGACCGTTTTAACTATTCTGTATATCCAATGCCAAAACTCCCTCGGTATCAACAATACGCCTGTGTTCACGTGGCAACACCTGCTGTTGTAGGAAACATCTTTAGTTTAAAATGTGGACATCCTTTTGTTTATGCCCTGCTGCCTTCGGTTAACGGTTCGAACCAGAGAAAGGCGGGCTGAGACGCACAGGTTCCATTTAGCCACGCACTTGCCTCGTTCCATAACACGAGCTACTGCTCTAAATGCGCTATTTACGGAAACGGAACACGATAAGGCCCAAGTAGCGTTTAAGTTAACTTCAGCTGAGGTTTAAGTTATCGTTATGATAACTATATCCCCACTGGTAATTACAGCCTGTTAATAAAAGCGTAAGGGTATTATTCCTTCAAGACGTTGTGGACCTGTTAGCATTAGCAACACTGCTAACGTGGTCATGCTGCTAACAACAGCATTATAAATTTGGCGATGAAATCTACAAACTCAAAAAATATATTTGTATCCTACAAAAAATATATTTGTATCCTAAAAACGCTTATATTAATAGGTTCGAATATAGACTAAATATGTAAAACATTTCACTAACCTCTCCTTGTGGTCTACACCGACATGCGGACTAAAACGGATGCTTAACAGGAGGAAGCAACAGAAGAACCCGTCAGTTTTTGTTATTAACTCCGCCCTTTACAACCCAATCCCCGCCCACAGATAATTTTTATTGGTTCCATCCAACTCAATATAGCGCGTTCATTGGTCGAGTGTATGCCCGTCTTACATAATAAGTCATTCACGTGATTGTTATGACTCATGGTGAGGTATGTGTTTGTTGCTTATTATTACTGTGGTTACATCCTCTGATGTAATTTCATCTTAACACTGAAGAAAGAGAAAGTAGTTCTTCGTGTGGCTCAGAAGCAAAAGATTAATTTATAGTTTAACTGCGGGTTGCCATGGGAAGCTATTAAAGTTAGTAAAAGCTGCAGTTTATGATACACCAACTATGTATGATACAACGTGTGATAATGAGTAACAATAACAATTTGATAGTTTTTATTTTTAAAGACTTTAAAAGTTTAAAGTTCTGGGGTTTGTTTGTTTTTAAATTTACTTTTTAACACAACGCTGAGTCAGGGATTGTCGCATCCATTTCCTGGAAATAACCCTTTTTAGCGGCATTGCTTGACGTAATACGCCCATTCGCCCACTTGAGTGCGCTAGACCTCTATAGAACCCCAGACTGGAACCAGCACTTTGTCTCACGTTGTCTATGCATTCATCAGCTTCAAATCCAAAGGTGCTTTTGGTGGCATGGCTGTTTATGAAAATTAGATTCCCAGAATGTTATAAAATAACACAAAATAAAATAAATGAACATTTCACTTCAATATTCTCAAACTGTACATCGCATGCAGACGTGTGCACGCCCATGCTGCATGTTGATATATACAGGACAGCCACATTTGCTCTGACTGCTTCACACAGGAGTATTTATAATTTTTGCTCAGCTCACTAAAATTTGAAATAAGACAACTGAATTGGTTATGTAAAATAAAATAAAATGTTGCACAGTAAGAAGTTATTCTTGTGGGTTTTGTGATGCATTGTGTTTTAAAAATGGCATAAAGATTTCTGCTATTAGTATGACTTATTAACATCTGATCTGTATTTGTAATTTCATTTTAGTTGCTTATCCTGGTAACAAATAAAAATAGTCTTGATATGATTGAAAAAGCTGCTGTCTGGATCAATGTCACCTAGAATGTCTTGTGGTCGCTGTTCAGTGGGAACAATGGTTTCCAGTTCTCTCAATGCATTTATATCCTATATTCCTGTATACAAGATGCATTTTCAATATAGATATTTCCAATGTGACAAGTTATTGTTAAACCATTAAATATACTCAGGAAGCAGCTGCACAACCATATGACTGAGCGAAGGGACTACACAAGTGTTACTTCTTCCCACGATGTTTTGAGCACCTGTTGTACTACGGGACACTATTTTCCTTCCTGTATAAATCTGTATGCATATGCTCAAAATAAATGATCTAGTGAAATAAATGAAAAAAAGAAGTTAGCATTCCTTATTTGACTGAATCATTTACATTTTAAGTAACGGAGGAAATCCATCTTCATCTCTCACCCAATGCCATTAAGAGCTTATGTGTATATATTAGTCTCTAGCCATCATTAACCCAGCCGTAACTTTTCTTTGTCCATGCTGCAGTGGCTTCAATGAAGAAAACAATACCATGTTCTAGCATGTAATAAAAATAGTTTTTATTTTATTTTGCAAAAACAAAATATCCAAATGGTCACTTAAGCACAAACCACTTAATCTGTGTAAGATCCATAAAATGCACAAAAATAAATAAAAGAGAAAAATCACAAAAATACCACAAATGCAGAGATGTTCAAAATCAGAGAACAAATCAACAGTCCAGTCTAAATAAAGAGAGTGGAAGTATTTCAGGTATGGTAACAGTAGAAGATCATAAAACCACCAAAAAAAAGAACAAGAGACCAAAATCAGGCAGCTAGAGTTTCCTGCTGAGCAGGGGCACGAGCCCAGGCATGTTTCCGTAGCACGCAAAAACACAGCATTCACAAGCAAAACACACATAACAAAAACCCCAAAAACCAAAGACTTAAGGACTGAGCTTTAGGACCAGGAATCTAAATATTCACTCTCTCAAGCACTGAACACAGGTATCCAACTAAAACCAAGACTACAATTTGAAATGGAGATAAAGTCTTTTAAACCCCAAAATGGGCTAAACACATTTAATCTCTTACAAAGAGAACGCACAACACTTACAATGCTGAGTTTTTCTAAACATCACTCTAACCTTGTCCTTTCCCAGCTTATTATATTTTGAGTAGCTCTTGAGCCCTGAAACACCTATAATCAATATATATTTCATATTTATAAGGCTTCTCATTTATTTGTCTCTTTCTTTGCATAGGGTCCTGAAGAACATACTAAATCAAAAACTGTCTCTACATCTCTCGTTGACTTGTTTAGGGACCTGCAGAGACACACAGTACAGCAGACTATCCCATATGTGTTGCTATGACATCAACTTAGCTCTTTAACACATGAGAGGGCAAGCCAACGTAACAGTGAAGATAAATAAGAACACATACGCTGAATACACACAGGAACGAATTGCTTCAAAAGCTGTTCAAAAATCAAACGTTTGTAATTCACACACAAAACAGAACAAATAGAAACTTTGGTTTGGCAGCCTGTTCACTTCCATTCAGTGCATAGCCTCTCATACACAATGGTTAAAAAGCAAAAAACACAGCTTTGTATTATACAGTGAGCAAATCCTGTCAGCAAGAATAGTTCCAATAAACCCAGAAGCTGAATTAAATCAAGAGTTTTCACTTTTAGGATTTCAGATACTCTGATTTGTCTTTTACAAACTGATGCTCTTGGTGTCATCGTGCACATTTCCAGATGAGAAATGACCCGTAGCCATTTTTCATAATGTCTTATTTGGAATAAGTGTGGCAAGCAGACACACATAAGTACTTGCCACTGCTTGTAGTGACACGTATAACTATTTGAAACTTTGCCAGTTACGGTCGTAGTCTGTAGTCAACTTTACAATAGACATTTCAACCCATAATACTGTCAGTAGATGCTAACTTGTTGGAGCTTTCCATGACATTACCGGTAATAATCAAACTGCTGGCAGTGGCTTATAGTATGATTGGGACGGTCACTGTTCATTTGAAATCATCCAAAAAAACAAACAAACAAAAAACAGAATCAAACTCTCAGAATCCAAAACAAAAGAAAGGAAAATCCACTGTAAAACTGAAATGTGTCAGAAAACTAAAACAAAAGTATGATGATAACAAATGTGTTTGGAACATTTTTAAAACCGTTTTTCAGTCTTTGAAAATAATAACATATTTGAAATTAAAAACGTGATCTTGTCCATTAAAAACAGCCTCATCCAGTCCCAGGAACCTTTTACCTGCTGCTAACATCTCATGTGAACTCGGTTCGGCTGGAATTCAGAGCAGAAAACCACCTTTAAACCTCGCATCATCACTCCAACCATGAAAACAAACACCACGTCAGTCCAGCCCTTAACGTTGCTCTAGTGTCCTCCAGGTTACATGTTCTGCATTCTGCAGTCTGAAGTGTTCGTCTGTTTCCTCCCAGCAGCCAATCAAAAGCCACCTCCCAGCACCTCACTCCACAGTGCTGCTGCTGGCCTTGACCCCGGCCCTGCTAATGTGCAGCCAGGGCAGCTTGGCGCAATTTTTAAAGAGCTGTTCGATGGCAATGTGACGCACGTGCAGCTCAGATGCCAGCGAGTCTTTCTCCTGCACGGCAACTGTCAACTCCTCAAAGACCTCTGTGAAGAGAGAGGAGGGGTGGATAGAGGGGATCAGCATTTTTATTCACAAGGCGCACACACACACACACACACGCACACACACACACGCACACACGCACACACTGCAGATCATTAAGTCGCGGGCGGGCTTATGTGGTCTTTCAAATTATTAAACATGAGCAATTAACATCCCCATCTGCTGTGGGTACATTTGTGGAAGTGACTGCTCTTAAAGGGTGAACAAAAATGTGCAGGACACGCTCCCACTAGGACGTTGGGAGGACAATATCTCACATTAGCTCAGGTAATTTGCCTCTTGGCAGCAAGAAGAATGATAATTTTACTCATCCAAAAGAATCAAGAAAAAAAATAACAAGACAGTTTAATAATGATTGAGCTGCTCATTTAAGCAGCTGTGTGATAGGTCACTCAGAGGTCACATGGTGCGCTGGACTCTTGAGATAAGAAAGCTGAGATAAGATGCTTGTAGCAGCAAACGATGGCTCTAACAGAGCCGGCAGTGGATTCAAGGAGATGATGTGTTGACCAGAAGCCTTTTAGTCTATTTCAGGCACTAATTTATTGAGTATTATGTTCTGAATCGGGGAGCTAAAAGTCAGACTGGGAATTAAAAAGACCCTTTCACTAGAGCAGCTTTTTTCCTGAGGGCACCAAAAATCTCATGTGGGGATTTATCAGAGAGGAGGATTTCACACTGAAGCAAAGGTTTTTAAAAATGCTTAAAATATAGATGACTATGACTGCTGAGCCTTCTGTGAAAGGAACTGCTCAATTGTTCAATCAGGATATCAGTAAAAACCACTTACTCTGAATCTGCAGGAGTAGCTGGGCATTTAGCTGATGGAGCTCATCCACACTCATTTCAGTCACTAAAAGAAAAGAGATCACTTTTAATGGTGTGTGAGCACAGTGGATGTCATTTAGCTGCCAATAAGAATAGACTTTAAACATGCTGCAAACTTGTGCTACTTGTCGATGTCAGAAATTGTGAATAATACGCACTAAAACTTCATTTGCTCTGTTTAAATAACTGCAAAGGTCTGTGCAATCTCAAGTGTCAGAGGGTGATGCTGTTCTCCTGCGGAAATATCCACAGTTTAAACAGTGTACCTGTGAACTGCCTGTCATCTTTCACTTATAAGCAGAGAATTTGAAAACTGCTGGCCTCTAACAGGCTCAGTCACATCCCTGCAGGATCTGTAGTTATAAACAGCTTTACTGGAGATGAGACGTGAAGCAGCCAAGGACACAGCCTATCTCGAGGTTAGAGGAAAATTAACCTCTCTCTGGAGAGATCACAGCTAAGAGGAAGATGAAGGACAGTAAAAACGTTCTGCTGTTGTACACGCTGAGGTTTTTGAAGATAAAACTGAATAATGTGAGAGCAGCTTTCCTTTTCTGCTGAAAGATGTATTTTTCTTTTTTAAAAGAAGAAGAAAAGCGTAAACGTTCCGCTGCTTCAACTCCAAATTGATAAAACCAAAGTCTGCTGAAGTTTGTTTGTGAAAAGAAGAAATGTGCTTACACTCTTCTCTGCTGTGACCCTGGTGCGCGCGCTGCTGTCCTCCTGATGGCTTCCGGCTGTGAAGACCTCTCCTGCTGTCGTTGGACCAAACGTCAGAATGCGACTCCTGCAGCAGTCCTAGCTCCTCGGCTGTGTGGCGCTCCAGCATACCCATCGTGTAGTCAGCCGGCCCTGTTGATTTGCCCGTGTCCCAGCAGGGCGTGTAGCGGGGCACCTGGGCGTCTGACTGGGGGAGCAGCTTGCGGTCATTTTGCTGGCCGTAACACAGAAGCTTAGCCCCCCGTCTGTTCGGGCCACTGGAGGAGACAGAGTCTTTGTTCTGGGCGTACTGAATGATGCGGTTCAGTTTCTGGCTGAGGGCCAGCTTCATGCCCTCGTAGGCACTCCGGGAGACCTTGGATCGTGACAGCTTCTGGTTGGCGATGAGATGACATTTCTCAAAGCAGTCTCTGTGGCCTCGCAGGGACTTGGAGTGCAACAAGGTAGCAGAGGAGACACCTGCATTCACACGGACAAAGCAGGGAGTCAATAAGACGACGACAAACGCAATGACACAGTGCAAAACGACAGTCAGCTAAAGCTTCTATTGTAAGAAGAGCCATTATTGAGTGAGCTCAGGTGAAGTGGAGACAAACCTGTTTTCCTAGCATGTGAAACAGCAGTGCGTGTTCTTGTAACCACCATAAAAACCTTTAGTAGGAAAAAGCTGCCCTTAAATAAACTTACAGTAGAGCTACAGAAAAAAAGAAACATGAACTGTTAACTTAGTCTGATATAATGTGTTGCAGCAGCCGTCCCACTTTCTATTGCTGTGAGCCAACCACCCCATGCATGTGTACTGAATCATGTTTATTTCAAGGCTTCAGTCACATTATTTTGCAGATTTAGACTATTATAGATATAAAATAATTATAAAGATAAAGAGACTTTTCCCCCTGAAGGCCAGTAAAACGCCACTGATCTGGGGCTGCTAGGCTGGACGCTAAATTATTAACATTAATAAGTAACATCTGCAGAGTGTCCGTTGTCTGCAGCAGGAAACGCTGCAGTGAAAACCTCAGTTCTGAGAATGTTAGCATGCCAGCTTTTCTTCATTGCAGCCACCGCATACTGCTTCAAAAGCTTACAGACACACACACACCAAATCTACCACACGCAGTAGAAACAATACTGTCAGAAAGCTCTTTCTGCCTCCTGCTAATGCAAGAAGACAGAGTAACTGCTATTTTAGCTTATACCTAAATTCATGTTGCATGTATACCATATTCTGTTGGATTAATAACCTACTGAACTTGCCACAGCAAATAAAAGTAAGAAGTAAACTAGTATGAAAGCAAGCTAAAACTGACAGACTGACCTGCCACAATCTCTCAGTAAAAGCTGCTTAGTGCTCAGTGGATTAGCCAGTAGAGCTCGAGATGGGAGGGATAATAGATTAACTCAGTCTCAATGCAAATATAAAGCATTTTTTTAAAGCCGGAGAATTCATGAGAGGAAATTGGTCTCTCTGTCCACATGAAGCAGCACTTCATTTACATTAATTCATGAGATTTACCTGTGCCTGCTTCTGTCAAACAATATTTTTATGACTTCACTACCCAGCAGTGACTACATTTTAGCTTCTTTAACCCATTTTAGCCTGAAAAACTGCACAATACAGCACTTGTTGAAAAAGAGACTGAAAAGATGCATTCCCTGGTGTAAAATAATTAATTCTGCATTCCTTGTGGTTACCTTTACACATAAAATGTAATGTTTCATGGATCCAAAAATTAAAAGAGGGTCACACTGTGCTCAGTTTTGCATGTAACAGGAAATTACTCCAAATAAGTAGAACACAACTGTAATAACCTCTGAGTGTGGCTTTATAAACAATGGGAGGCTGACAGTGAAAGAGAAAGCGTTAACACAGTGTGTGTGTGTGTGTGTGTGTGTGTGTGTGTGTGTGTGTGTTAGAGAGATGGAGAGGTGACCTTCTTCTTACAGCCTCTATTTCTCAGTAGACAGGCATACGTGTTGGAGTCTGAGGTGAGGAGATTAGTCACTGTTGTTCATCTCGATTTAGAAGCTCACACAGAGACATTTACCTCACAAGCGCCTCTCTGCACTTTACCAGCAGCCAGGTCACTGTTTTCACTACACGACACGACCACAGCACACACACTCACTCATAAGCCTCATGTTTGGCGTTTGTAGTGCAGGGCTGCTCTAAAGTTACACACATGCAAAACAACGTTAGGCAACACACACACACACACACACACACACACACACACACACACACACACACACACGGAGATGCTGGTTCAACAAATTCCACTTAGTCTAAGTAAGAAGAGAACCCATACTGATGTTAATGACTGAAATGGAGAGAAAATATTAATGAAGTCAACACAGAGAGTTGAGTTATTTGTCATTGTAAAAACTGGCTTTGAGAACAACAACAACAACTAGCAAAACTAACATGAGAAAAGTAAACTTTATGTATAAAAGCAGAGACAGCAAGCAAAGTTGTGCAAAGACAGACATAAAGCATGCTGGCTGAAAATTTACCAAGAGAATTTTAGTTTTAGTGGTTTGAGGCTGCATGTTGTATGAATTGTAAACGTCAGTTTTCTGCCTAGAGTTATATAAAATAGAAGCAGCTCACATGAAAAGGAAGACAAAAATATTTTTCTGCACAAATTTGTTTGTAGGCAGTGCTTTTGGTATCTTTTGAAAGCTTCTGTTTTGTAACCTTGTGGAATCACATCAAATAGTTCATCCCTAATTTGGGACAGACTGCATTAATAGACCTTAAATGCCTTAGCACATAGGAAGGTTTTAGACCATTACACAACTGTGTGGCACAAATCTATTCTTAGCTTCAGCGTAGTTCGGTTTTGACACCGAGTGCCTTAAAAGTCCGATGTTTGCAATGGATTAGTCTTATGAGGGAACCAAATATTATCAGAGTTTTGAGTCGTGCGAGTGCGTGAATAATTGTCTAACAAATAGTCAATGACTCTTCAGACACAGAGCTTTGTGCCAGTCACAAAGCCATGGATTTATCTGATCAGTCTTAGCCTTTGGATGTCCACAAAAACAGTGACTACCACTTGCCAGCAGAAAAATCATTGGCACACAACCAGGGCCGTGCACCACCAGCAAAAGACCTCACACCAGCTAAGTAGCTTAGCGCTACTGTCTTTCATGGCTGCACACACAGCCACAGGCACACACAGACTATTCACTGGAGGTGATTCAACATTGTTAGGCTGTGACATCCAGAGACATTAGTCACACTGATGACCAGCGGACTTGTTTTGGTCTGCTCGTCCGGGAAGGGGTGAAGTTAAACTGTCGTAGACAAAAGCACAAATGCAAGCTGAAGTTTAATGAACAAATCCAGGCCTGTAATCAGTAATCCCTGCCTACAAATAATTATACAAAAGTAGAATCAGGCAATTCAGACCCACACCCGAATCAGAGATCACGTAGCTTGTTTCATTAAAATCAAATAATCAGACTTCAGGCAGGAAAGAGTTTCCTTTAAGACAAGGATTACGTTTCAGTAGAACGCAAACACTTTACAACTAAATCACAAGGTTTTAGTCACAAGGAAAACAAGCATTCAGAAAACTAGGGGAACAAGACAAAACCACAGAGATATTACTTCCTCTGTTTGACAGGCCAGCTTCTTTTAGCGGCAAACGTTTTAGCCAAACTGAACTCTGACCTGCACTTACAGATTTGTTCTTGTGGTTTCCATCAGGGAAAGAAAACTCAATGATACGTGTTTGCAGAACATTATACGGATAGTATGTGATATATTAGTAATGTCTGTTTCATCAAACTTCTGAGCCGCCTGCCCACTCAATCCTTGACACACTTTAATAACGTGTTGGGAGTTGGCATGGAGACAGCGGCACACAGGTCACTGATGGTGAGGTGTCAATAAGAGCTGCATGCCACTGCTTAGGAGAACGTGTTGTCAGCAGCTGCACACGGCAACAACAACAAACTCAATGACTCGTGAACTCAGACTACATGTTAACCACTACAGATGTCCTGCAGTGCTTCCTACAGACTAGCTGCCATCACAGGTGCAGGAAACCCCATCTAACCGAAACAACAGCAACTGTTTCAGCCTGGAAGACACAGATACGATTACAGAAACCTACAAGCACTCATGCGCACAACTCTATTTCCACAAGTATGGCGGCCATTAAAAACAAAAACAAAAAAACAACAACAACAACAAACAAACTTAGAATTTGCTCAGAAAAACAAAACAGTAAGGAAGTTGCACATGATCAACTAAATCTAGATCAGGAAGGCTTCTGTTCAAGGCGTGTCTATTTTACTCTGAGGCTTACAGTCACACTGTGCACACGGTACAGTGAGTGGCAGGGAGAGCAACATTTCTTATGCCTAAACTATGTTTATGCAGACACTGTTGTGAACTAACAATCATACATTCAAACACAAACTCCACGTTTAACAAGTACTCAGATTCCAGAAAATAAAGAACAAACTGTTCATGGAAAAGGATATTGATGCATGACAAATGCTGATTAAATTGTTTAACAACATGAGCATAATGGCTAGGGCTGCCACGATTAGTCGACTAGTCACGATTACGTCGACTATCAAAATCG